AGGGAGGAGTGGCAGACTTGAAACCCTATCTGAGTCGAGACGAGAAGGGGAACGATGTGGGTGAGAGGGCCCCGGCTTTCAGGGATAAACCGCTGGGGGAGATGTACCATCTTTTTTTTCTAAAATGGAACACACCGATTCCATAAATTAACCTGTCTGAGCGCGAACCAACCTGTGGTTGAGATGGTTAGGTGGACAATGGTATCCCCAACCCATCAGGGTTCAAATCTTGTTGCTCGCGTTATTCCTGAGTTTATTTCAGGATTTCTGGCGACGTGCTTTCGGTGGGAGGATACATTTACGTCCACGAGGCGCCTACGATGTCTTCGTAAATCTCAAGATGATATAACGACTCAGTCTCTCGAACGTGCTTATAAAGATATGTGTACGTGTGTGTTCATAGGGGTGAGTGCTTCATTGATAAGCACAATAGGCCTGGGCGGGCACCTTGGGGTCGGCCGTGGATGAGCACAATAGGCTAGGGCGGGCACCTTGGGGTCGGCCGTGGTAGGGAGATATGCTGGAGCACCTTGGGCAAGAAGGAGCGGCCACCTTATGACCACGAAATCTTCATCGCTGTGATAGTCGACATTGGTGGGCGAAACCATGGCTCGTAGGACCATTGCCAACACAAGCTTTGGCACGCACACAACTTGTGCCATTTTTCTGTATTTCTTCTCGCTAGATGCAACTGGTTAGGGCATGTACAATGGTTGATAAAATAGTCTTATCTTAAATTTTGCATGTAATTTAGATATGACAAAAAAGAGTCTACAATGGGTCATCTCTTAGCCTTATCTTCAATAACTAGTCATTCCTAAAAATGTGGTGAGACATATTGTGTTAAGAGATCATCTCTTGTATTCTCTTAAATAAGAGAAGACAAACCTTTTCTTATGAGTTCTTTCTCCTCCACCTCATCATTTATCCTACATGACACTCCTAAGATAGCACCATCGTACATGCCCTTACAAGTGCTTTTAAACGCAAACATGCACACACGGCCAAGCCACACACCGGCTTGATCCGTATTTCACTCTCCACTAGCTCCATGCACGCACGTCCAGCACCAACAGGCCGAACCTCCCGCAACGGCCACACGGCTCGGCCATTTTGTTTACATGCATGTAGTTAGACGCTAGCTGGCTCTATCTTCGACCATCAGTACTTGCCTACGTAGGCCACCTCTTCACTACGTGCACTAAGAGCATCTCCAGTCGCGCCCCTAACAGGCCTCCCAAGGTAATTTTTTAGCGCCGGTGGTCGAAAATCGGCCCAGTCGCGCCTCCAGGATCTCGTTTAGCGTCGGTTTTGGCGAAATCTAGCCGGCGATCCCGCCCCGAATCCAAACGGCCTGGTGTCGCCTGAGCGCGCCGGCACAAGCGAAAAGCGGCGTGGTCCCGTTCTGTCGGCGACTAGAAGCCGACTGGAAGCCCTTTTCCCGCCGTTTCCTCCTGCACTCACCCCTCTCTTCTCCATTCCTCCCACCAATCCCCCGCCTCCTCCCTGCCGTTCCGCCGGCCATGCCGCCGAAGAAGTACATGATACCGCGCGCCGCGGCGGATCCCACCGCCGCCGCCGCCCAGCCCAAGCAAAGGAAGCCGAGGGCTCCACTCTCCAAGCCACCCGGCATGACCAATGCCGAGTGGATGGCGGATGTGGAGCGCCGAGAGGCCGTTACCGCCGACAGGCGCAACAGGGCCAAGAAGGCGAGGGAAAAAGCGGCGTACGCTGCAGTGGCGGCGGCGGCGGGGCGTGCCGCCGAACAGGCGGAGGTGGCACACGCAGCGATGGCAAATCCACCCGGTGGGCACCCGTACGCGGCCTGGAGCCAGCAGAGCGTCGGCTCTCCGGCCGGGTTCTCGTCATCGCCGCACCCATGGAGCACGCCGTCGCCGGGCTATGCCGATGGGGACGCTCACAGTGGTTTCAACCCCAACATCACGTTCCCCCACGGGCGCCCTGCCCAACGCACACCCTCGCCAGCGTTCGCCGGCCTGCAGTACCCGCCTTACACGTACTCGCCACCGGACTACGCAGCCTCACCGATGCCCCCTCTTCGCTGCGGCCTGTACTCGCAAGCCTCGTCCACGTCGCATCTCGGCGACACTGACACGACGGAGGCCGACATGGACAACATCATCGCAGCCGGCTCGGCTGCCGCCACCGCTTCCCCCGGATTCACTACGCAGGACGGCTCGATTGACCTCGCCGACATGGACGGCGAGGACGACTACGGCAAGGAAGAGCCGGAGGAGGAGGAAGAAGAGGAGGAGGAGCCGACACCGACGAAGAAAGATAAGAAGAAGAAGAAGAAGAAGAAGAAGGCCAAGTCCGGTGAGCCGCGCCTCAAATGGGCGTCCAAGGAGGAGGAGTGCCTTGCCGAAGCGTGGAAGGTTGTCTGCCTCGACCCGGTCACCGGCACGAATCAGAGCGTCGAGACGTACTGGGACCGTATCAAGGCCGAGTTCGACGAGTGGAAACTCGTCGACCCCTACTTCAAAGGCATGCATATGAAGCGGGGGTCGAAGGGGATGGTGAACATTGGTCGCTCATCCAAACGGCATGCAACAAATGGCATGGGATCGTCGAGGAGGTCGCGGCTTGCCCGGAGAGCGGCACCAGCATCGAGGATCAGGTACCGCACACCGTTCTTTTCTTTCGCCTTGTACGCGCCCTGACGCGCGCCCTGGTGCCGACTGATGGCCTTTCTTCGGCACAGCTGCTACGCATGTTCGCCATGTTCCGCGCGACAACAGCGATGCAGACTTCAAGTACCTCCATGTCTTCAAGCGGATCTACAAGTGCGAGAAATGGGCGGCCGTCGGACGCAACCTCGCCAAGGCCAAAAAGACGTACAAACCGGACGCGCCGACCGCGGGCACGGCCGACGGGCGCCCGGACGGCAACAAAGTTGCCAAGAAGGCGAAATACGTCGAGTCGGCTGCCGCGCGCGTGCAAGAGTCCATCGAATACTGCATCGCCGACGCCAAGACCAGAGCCGCCGAGCGAGAGGAGAAAACTGAGGCGAGGTAGGCTGTTTTGATGACGAACAGCGCCGTCAAACTCGACTTGCTTCGGACCAGCGCCGCCGCGAAGCTCAAAGCTCAAGACGCCAAGAAGAGGAACAACGATCTCGCCTTTTTGATGGGCGGCGCTGACATACTCCAGAGCAGCGACGAGAAGCTCAAGGCGTGGTTCTTGGCCAATCGCGGCCTCATCCAGGCCCAGATACCGGCGACGCCGACGCTGCCGCCCAGCCCGGCGGCTGATGACGATGCCTCCGCGACGCCCAACCCCACCGACGACGATGCCTCCGCCGCGCCGAACAGCCCGGAAGCCGCACCAAACAGCCCGGTAGCCGCGCCGACTCCTCCCAGCCCGCGTACGCCGCCGATGACGCCGCCGGAGGTTGAGCTCGAAGTCTGATGCCTTCCGCGTCCTTCCTTTTTTGTACGCCGAACTACATTTGATCGCCGATCTATGGCACTATGAATCGCCGAACTATTGCGATGATCGCCGGTTTGTTGTTTCTTTGAGCGGGAATGATGGATTTCGAATATGGAGCGCTTTCGGGGGCGGTACCTGGGTGCGCGACTGGGGAGAAATGAACCTCAGGGGCCGAAATAGCGCCGGCTCACCCCCAAACCGCTTTTTTTCGGCGCCCTGGGGGACCGAACAGCTGGAGATGCTCTAATACCCTGATCACTAAACACATGATTAGTCCCAGCAACGCGTGAATGCATGTACTCAACTAATGGCCGCCAGTCCGCCCGCTACACTGCACTCTCTCTATCGCTGCGTGTTGTCTTCTCTGCAGATCTGGTCACTCCGCCATGTTTATATGCATACAACTAGCTGGAACTAAATCGACTACTAGAACTAAAATCTGCAAACAGAAATAAACATGATGAATACCTAGACAATAAGGTAAACTCTATCAGACCCCAAGGACAGGCTCGCCAGCTCCGCCCCGGAGGCAATGTCCGGTCGCACCAGGCTCACTGAGCTGCACCTGAGGGGCAACCACATCACCGGCGAGATACCGTCGCAGCTGGGCGGGCTGGAGAGCCTCCTCGCGGTGAACATCTCGCACAACCGGCTAGTCAGGCAGCTACCAGCGTCGGCCGTGTTCCAGAGCCTGGATGCGAGCGCGCTGGAGGGCAACCTCGGCGTGTGCAGCCCGCTGGTCGCCGAGCCGTGCGTGACGAATCCGTTCGTGCTGTATTGGTCTATTGTTGGAACCGCCAGCCCCTCGCCTCACTCCTCCTAGCTCTCTCAGACGCCGTGGCACGAACCAACGAAGAAGAAGATCAGAGGAAGAAGAAGGACACGGGGACACCGTGGATTTTCCGGCGCACGAACGCCACTTCCTGAGCACGAACTCAGCACAACACCCCGCCATTACAATGATCACCGCAGCTGCCTTTATACCCGGGCAACGCTGGGCTCCAACCCACTCGCACTTGCCCACTCGCGCGCTCCGATCGGCCCGCTCTGCACGCCCTGCGACGCGCTCCGCGCGCGCGCCCTGCGCCGAGCCCTCAACGATGACGCGCTCCCGCTGCGCTCGGATCACATCCTCACCTAATCTACACACACCCGCGCGGCGTTCACCTGCATGGACACGCCCATGCACCGCACGCACACCTACACGCACGCACACACCCGACTCGCCGCGGACCCGACACGCCCTGCACACTTGACGCGCGCCCATACACGCGCCTGGTGTGTCGAACTCGTCGCCGCGGATTATTGCACCCAACGCTCGCGCCCTAAGCCGCGGCTCAGAGCAGGCCGTTGTCCTCGACGTCCCAGTCGACCAACAGGGCACGCTCCTTCGCCGGCTCCTTGCGCAGCAGTGGGCAGTCCCTCTTAAAATGACCGCGCTCGCCGCATTTGTAGCAGCGGCCGCGCCGGTTTCCGCCGAAGCCCGTCACCTGCCTCCGCACGTCGTCGTCGCACCGCTCACCACCATGCTACCGATCCCGAGCTCGTCGTTACGCCGTTGTGTACATGAGCGCCCCGTCCGCCAGCTCGCCGCCTGCCTGCCCGCGTCGCCAGAGCCGCTCGTCGAACGCCTTCAGGCGACCCAAGGCCTCCTCGAACGCCATCGTGCTCACATCACAGAACTGCTCGATCCTGGCCACCGCCCCGTACAGACGGTCCGGCACCGAATCGAGCAACTTCTTCATGAGTGCGGCGTCCTCCAACGTCGAGCCCAGCCCCGCGAACCGCGCCGTCATTGCTTCGAGCTTGCCGGCGAAGCTGTCCAGTGTGTCGCCGCCCGCCATGTGCAGGAGCTCGAACTCCACTCGCAGCGTACCCAGCCGCGCCGCCAGCACGCGTTCCGCGCCGACAAAGCGTCTTGAGGCTGGCCCAAATCTCTGCCGCAGTCTTCTTCCCGCCCACCTGCAGCAGAAGTTCGTCGGCGAGTGCCCGGAGCAGGTAAGCCCGCGCCGGCTTATCCTTCTTTAAGATCACCGCAGACGCGACGTCCTCCGGTGGCACCACCGCCTCCCACAGCCCGGCTGCGTCCAGGTCGGCCTCCACCTTGATGGCCCAGGTGGTGTAATTCTCCCCCGTCAGCACCGGCGCCGGATGCGACACCGAAGTGCCCGCGGCGCCACCGTACGGGACGATCGACATCGCTGGCGAGCTCCCTCCTCCACGTGGCTGTGATGCCAAATGTTGGAACCGCCAGCCCCTCGCCTCACTCCTCCTAGCTCTCTCAGACGTCGTGGCACGAACCAACAAAGAAGAAGATCAGAGGAAGAAGAAGGACACAGGGACACGGTGGATTTTCCGGCGCACGAACGCCACTTCCTGAGCACGAACTTAGCACAACACCCCGCCATTACAATGATCACAGCAACTGCCTTTATACCCGGGCAACGCTGGGCTCCAACCTACTCGCACCTGCCCACTCGCGCGCTCCGATCGGCCCGCTCTGCACGCCCCGCGACGCGCTCCACGCGCGCGCCCTGCGCCGAGCCCTCAACAATCACGTGCTCCCGCTGCGCTCGGATCATATCCTGACCTAGTCTACACACACACCCGCGCGGCGTTCACCTGCATGGACACGCCCATGCACCGCATGCACACACCCGACTCGCCGCGGACCCGACGCGCCCTGCACGCGCCCGGTGTGTCGAACTTGTCGCCGCGGCTTATTGCACCCAACATGTATCCCAACGAGTACATGCACTGCGGCAACAATCACAACAGTGGGGTAGCGGCCAACGGCGACGACAGCGGCGGGGAGGCGGGGCCGAGGAGACGTAGATTCCTGAGCGTGTCCACCATGGTGGCCATCTGCGCGGCGCTGTGCATTATCCTCGGGGTCGTCGTGATCGCCCTGCAGAACGTGTCGGCGCGGCGGCAGAGGTGTGGCGGAAGCGGCTCCGCGGATGGGCTGTTTCAGGCGAAGGTGCTGGAGCTGGAGAGCAGCGTGGTGTCCGGCAGCTCGACCAAGTTGAGCAAGCTGGCCGCACCGGAATCCAAGATGGAGGTCCACTCTGGAGCAGGTCCAACGCGGGTGGCCGCGACACGGACAGCAAAGTTCCGATGGTCTCTAGCTCCGGTGCGGTTTGGGGCTGCTACTCCGCTTTATTGGGACGTGGTGGTGGACTCCTCCGGGCTCTCGCTGCCATGCCATCCTCGTTTTTTTTAAGCATCAGTACACACATAAGCGCTCATATACACGGGCATACACTCATCCCTCTGAACGCACACACGCACACCCTACCCCTATGAGCACCTCCGAGAGACTGAGCCGGCATTATTATCTTAAGATTTACGAAGTCACCGTAGGCGCCTCGTCGTCGACGGGAACGTCTCCTCCCACTGAAAGCGCATCGCCAGAAATCCTGAAATAAATACAGGAATAATGCGAGTACCAGGATTCGAACCCTGGTGGGTTGGGTATACCACTGTCCATCTAACCAACTCAACCACACGTTGATTCGCCCATGCCATCCTCGTTAGAGCATCTCCGACAAACGTGCAATCGCATGGCGCGCTAAATATTTTTACAGCATTGAAATAGTTTTTTTTTTGCACGCAGCTGGGCACTGGCTTCAACGGACGCTGTAAAAGATGTAAAAGATGACGCGGGAGCAGCTCCAGCGGGGAGCTAAATTTACAACACGCGCCCAGCACAAACAATTCAGAATAAAACAAAAAGATCAAAACACATAAAGAATAAATTAACAATAAATAGTTCACTTTATTACAACTGAAACAAATAGTTTATCTTCCAATTGAACAAACAGTTCAAATATACAACGTCAAACTAGTTTGTCGGCCATTCCATGCCCATCACTCCTCGGTTAGATCATTTTGAAGATCATTATGCGTTTCGTCACAACGAATGACATGATAGGAGGCAACAAATCGGGCCACCATGGTAGCCCTCCTCCGCACTTGCATGGGATGTCCCATACTAAGAATAGTCTAAATCTTGCCCACGCTCATTCTCGATGATCATGTTGCGCATGATCACACAAATGTTTATGATGTACCAAAGGATCTTTTGATCCCAAAATTTACCCGGTCCTCTTACAATAGCAAATTAGGCTTGCAAAATCCCGAAAGCTCTCTCCACTTCTTTCCTAGCCGCCGCCTGAGCATTGTGAAAATCAAGATTTTTCTTACCTTCCGGTTTTTTCAACAGCTTCACAATTGTTTCCCACTTTGGGTAGATGTCATCTGCAAGATAGTAGCCATAGTTGTATGTATGACCATTTGCTACAAACTCCACCGGTGTAGTTTCACCATTTGCAATCTCATTCATGGGTAGTGACCAATTAAGAACGCTGATGTCATTCGAAGATTCAGGTATTCCAAAAAAAGCATGCCAAATCCAAGTCTCATGGCCGGCCACTGCTTCAAGGATTATAGCGGAACCCTTTTTTGGCCGTGGAATTGTCCATCCCATGACTTAGCACAGTTCTTCCAACTCTAATGCATCAAATCTATTGAGCCAAGCATACCTGGGAACCCGCGAGCTTTGTTCATCTCCAAAAGCCTTGTGGTGTCTTCGGCATTGGGAGCTCTCAAATATTCCGGACCAAACACTTGCACAATTTCGACTGCGAAGCGCTTGACACACATGATGGCTTGACTCTCACCCATGGCAAGTGGTCATGAACTAGATGTGCCGGAATACCGTATGCCAACATACGCAAAGCGGCTGTTACCTTTTGAAAGGTGCTACGCCCGAGTTCTCCGGCGGCATTCCTCCTTTGCTGAAAAATCAATCATGGCTCGCCAGTTTCTCTGCAATGCGTTTGAACAACTCAATGCTCAGCATAAAACGACGCCGAAAGTAGGACTCACGGTATGTGGCATTCTTCACAAAATAGTTCCTCATCAATCTCATGTGGGCATCGATCTTATCCCTCCAAAATTTCTGACGACCCATAACCGAACCACCGTGCTTCAACTTTTTATTGACGTGCATAGCTAGGATCATTGCGAGGTCCTCCTCCTCTTGAATATCAAATTCTTCACGGAAGAATCGTAGGACGAACTCATGTACAATACTGAATTTAAACTAGCACTAGTAGAAAAAGGGTCAAATGTGAGACACATTAGTGTCGGTTTGATTTTGAGCCGGCACTAATATTTCCATTAGTGCCGGTTCCAAGGGCTAGCCGGCCGCTCTCATTAGTACCGGTTCATGGCGAACCTTTAGCACCGGTTCGTGCCACGAACCGGTACTAAAGAGGGTGGTGGCAGGATGTTGCCAGTCTGGGCCCCTCCAGCCCCTTTAGTACCGGTTCGTGGGACGAACCAGTACTAAAGGTCGTCGTACATAAACCCTTCGTCCACCCGAGCTCGCTCTATTCTTCCTCTTTCCCCTCTCTTCCTCTATTCTTTCCCTCTCTTCCTCGAGCTCATTAGACATTTTGCCCAAAATTTGTCAACATTTGAAGGCCCCCATCCATTCAAATGATCACAAAGGTTAGCAACTTTGTCCTTTCATCTCTCATTGCTAGATTAGCTCTTGCAATGCTTTGTATAGTGATTAATTTGTGAGTTTAGTAATTTGGGAGGAATTATATGTGCTAGTATTTGATTTATATGCAATTTGAAGTCAAAAATAACACTTAGTTTGCATATGTAGGTGTGGTTTACTTAGTGCCTTCTAAATCTCCGTCATAACCACCGTCGATCGCCCGCACCGTCCCGTCGCCGGCACCACCTTGTGGTGACGGCCTTACGACAGGCCGGCGATCACCGGAGACAAAAAAATATTGCAAGAGAGAAGACACAGACGATATGGTGGCGCACAAACATTCTGCCGTGCGAGCGGCTTTTTTGTTTTTCTCCTCGAGCACGAACTCCATCTGCTAGGGCCATTACACAGGAGTCAGTAGGCTTTATACACGCGCGCACTGATGTGCACGCCGCGCCTCTGACGCACCCCACTCACAGACCCCAGCTTGCGCGCCCGGCGCACGCACGCGCCCTACGCAGCCGAATCCAGCGCCCGACACGGCTGCTCTTCCGCGGTTCACGCCAACTGACACACACACACACACCCCTTTGCTACACACGCATGCACACGCTACGGAGCCAGCGTGGCCCGAACCGCACCCGACACGCTCGGCGCGCG